ACAGAGCCATATTACTAATCGGGCAAATTTATGCTAAAATGATTGTTTCTTCAATAACAAGATATTTTGTTTAATAGAATAGAAGAGAAACATGCCAATGTGACAATCAAAATCGCAATAGCAACGTTGTATTTAGCGTAAGTATATTAAAATACTCAATCGATTTCGAGGGCAGCCAAAGGTCCCTCCTCATCAGGAGAATGAAGTCCCCAGAAAGGGGAAAAAAGATAAAAATAAAGCATCGGCAAAGGAGTCTCAGAAACACGTCCCTATCAGCACTGCATGTGGTCATAACCGGATTTTGAATTGGAGTTACACTGGCCGCCTACTTTTACTGAGCCAGGCTATCTGATGAAACATATGACACATAGACTAAAACGCAAGAAAATCAGCGAAGTAAAAAAATAGGGAGCGAGGGGCAAATGCACTTCCACGCACCAAGTCTGAACTTCGAATAAAGAGAAAGGTAATGGCTTTTTATACCCTCCGGTAGTATCAAACGCGAGGAGGCAACCTCATGTTTGGTACTACCAGTACCAAGTTCAGTCAAAAGTCTTTAATCCGGACTCGTCGGGTCTTGGGCAATTCCGGATTATAGATCATCATTTTAAATCTGATAAGATGGCATGCAGAAATTATAAAATTAAAAATATGAAACTGTAATTTATGAAATAAAGAGCAATTATGATCTAAAGGGTGTCAAAATTTACAAAAAAAAGCTTAATATTTATTTGTTTACTTTAAACATTTCTTTCAACGCGCGCATGCATAAAGCATACATTACACATAGTTGAAATTAGAAAATTGCAACCAGAAAACTATTTGATGTGTATTCGTGATATTTATAATGACCTCAGGAAAATCAACTGCTCTGAAATTAGTTCCTAGGTAAGCAAAGGTTCTGAGGAACAAACTTTGAGCGCACAAAATACATAAGTGGCCTGTGTAACTCTGATTCAAAATCCGGTTACGACCATGTGCGTGCTGATAGGGACCACATGTTTCTGAGACTCCTTTGCCAATGCTTTACTTTTCTTCTTTTTTTCCCTTTCTGGGGATTTCGTTCTCCTGATGAGGAGGGACCTTTGGTTGCCCTCGAAATCAATTGAGTGTTTTAATATACTTACGCTAAATACAAGGTTGTTGTGATTTTTATTTTATTTAGTATAGAAGGGAAATTAAGAATCGGGACTCTCCAGATGTTTTATTATGAATGGAGGGGTGAATCAAATGCGCATGCGTAAAGCTTACGAGAAAACATTGGTGGTGGTTTTGAGGTAATGGATGTCCGGATTTCGGACTTTGTACTGAATTTACTTGCATAAAAGAGGTAAAATATGTCAAAATTAACAATCATAGTTATTTCATTAGTATGAAACCTAGCTGAGGTCATAAAGACGTTTGTGTATCCTATCAAAATTCCAGAAAAGCCATGTAAAATAGTATCATATCAAATTTAAAAATTGCAATAATCAATAATTCCTATCTAATCTACATAAAGAAGAAAAATGCACACATAGAAAAAACAGTCAGAAAAATGCACACATAGAAAAAATAAAATCAATCTTCCTGTTCAAAGCTTCAACCAGAATTTATCAAGGGAAAAGTGCTGGGAGCCTTCAACCAAGTTGCATGCAACCAAGACCTTCAACCAAGTTGCACCTTTCGTCAAGCAAATACATTGAGAATCCAAACTGTATTAATCATACTCTATTTTCTTTTCAAACTAAAACTATCAATAGTCTCAATGGATTTGCCCCTTTTCCGACATGTTTGCATATGTATATATATCTTGAAACAACAATTTTAACAGTAAAGATTAAAGTTCTAAAAGGTACAAAAATACTGTTTTACATCAAGATCTACGTAAGATTTATTTAACAAAAGCTCTTAATTTTTTTAAATTAGAAGAAAAATTATTGTGTCCTGGAATTTTTTTTTATTTGAAATTTAAAATGAAGAAAACTTTAGGTAAACTATTAAATTTTAGAATAAAATATTATGTAAATTGAAAGCTAAGAATAAGTTGAAAATTTTTTGTAGAAATTAAATTTTTAAAAAAATTATGAAACCATATATTAAGCACAAGAGAAACATGCCAATGTGGAATATAAAACAGGCAAATTGACAACCTTGTATTCAGCGTAGATTTTGTAAAATCCCAATTGATTTTGAAGGCAAAACAGGTCCCTCTTCATCAGGAGCAAAAAATTCTACAAAAGCAAGAAAGCGAATGTCGATCATATTTATACCCTACAGGCAACCAGTGGAAGAGCCGATAGCGCCGTCTGTCAGCAGAAATAAAAAAGCTCTTTTGAAGCTTCTCATATTCACAAAACTTTATCCTGTCTAGTCAATGACTTTAATTCCAATCCAGTCTTGCTTAATACCTTTAAAATTTTACTAACTTTTAACCCTTCATTTTTCGTTACTATTTCTGCCGACAGATGGTGCTATTGGCTGTTTCACTGGTCGCCTGTAGAGTATAAGTATGATCGACATTTCCCTTGTTTGGTCAAGAGTTTGCGTGTGGTGGTTTGGGAGGGATTGAATCGGCTCTTCATCCAATTGGGAAGTTTCACGATTTAACCGACACCCTGAATTTAGAGATGGGATCTTCTGCTGATACTATATATTTGGTGTCAGTTTGGGATCTTATCTATTTATTTATTATTTACCATTCACGGAAGTTACCATTTAAAACCTTTCTTTGATTTAAATGATCAAATGGCGGAAGAGCAATAGGCAACATTGCCTAAGCTCTTTTCCTTCTTTTCATAAGAAGGAAGTGCTACTAATGTTATGTTATGTTATGTTATGATCGACATTACCTTTTTCACTTTTGCAGAATTTTTAACTCCTGATGAAGGGAGACCCGTTTTGCCCTCGAAATCAATTGGGATTTTACAGAATCTGTGTCAGATACAAGGTTGTCGATTTGCCTGTTTTATTTTCCATATATTAATTATCGTATTGTAATGTTTCAAATTTAAACATTAAATATTAAACAGCAAAATATTTAACGTACAATTTTTAATTTTTTAAGTGTAAATTATGGCAGAAGTTATGGAAAACGAAGATAGCGAGTTAATATCCTTGCCTATTGTGGAACTTGGCAAATAAAACAACTTGATCAATAAAAGGATAGAATCTGAATATCAAAAGAGAATATTTACATATAAACAAGTCTCTAATTTTAGTTCCATTCTGCATTATTCTCCTTTCTTAAAGGTTTAAAATTACACAATCGTATCGCAGTGTAACCAGAGATTATGTTTGGTAGCTGATGTTTACTTTTTTTCAGAGAAAGATTGATGTAATATTTTTGAAATTTTATTCTCTATTAAAGAGTTGATGAAATGTATGATCTCTTCTTGTAGGTAATTAACTTCAGTATACATTTTTTTTTAAAGTTATGTGAAGTAGATTGCGAATTGTGTTTTTTAAAACATTTTTTAAAATCCTTTTTGAAATCCCAGTGAATTAATTTTATTATTTTAAAACTGAAGTCTCTCCTTTTGTCATAAAGTTTAATATTTTTGTGATCAAAAATGTGTTAACCTAAATAGTTAATTTCTTTTTGAGTAGTATTAGTTTTATTTAAGACTAAATTAGGTGGGTAAATATTGTGTTCTTCTGTATTCTCAAAATTATTTATTGCTATAATATCATCAATATATCTATCTATATCTAATAGTAAAGTAATTTTCATCTACTTGATTAAGAGATTTATGAAAGTGATATTCCTCTGTGAAGACCCCACAGGAATTGCATTTATTTGATGAAAAACTGAGTCTCTAAACTGGATATAGTTATTAAAAAATGTGCAATTAATCTTTTCCAGTTATCTTCTGAAATAACTTCAAGAATTTCAGAAAACAGCTTAGGAATCTTTAAAAAACTGTTGTAGATTGCTGTTAATGGAAGAAAAGTGTACAAATTTTCAAAATCATAATAGCTGATTTCTTTTGCCTCATCAGAGTCAATTGCCTTTTTGTAATTATTAGTACCATTACTAATTCAAAATTTAATAATTTTAAGTTTTGTTCATTTTAAATTTCAAATAAAAAATTTTTACCAGGATAGTGTAAGCAATTTTCTTCTAGTTTTTTTTTTTTTTTGTAAGCTTTTGTTACATATATAAATATATATATAGTATATGTAGAACTACATTTTTGAAACTAAAGATTGGCACCATTAAAATCAGCAAAATGCAGGTTTTTTTTTTTTTTTTTTTTTTTTTTAAATTTTTATTTTTAAGATGACTGATGACTAACATTAAAAGACTAATTACACAAATTTATACAGTTTTTTTTAAGAGATGTAGTTTGAAAACATCAATCTAAAATCATTACATTTTTAAGTAGCCTGTTATTGAGCATATTCTGTAGTTCTGAATATAGATGACATCTTTCCCAATTTTTTAGACATATTATTATGGAACATGTATAACAGTAGAAAGTTTTTAAGCAGCTTTAGTTTGATGAAAATATGCTAACAATGAATAAAATAACATTTATCTCACTTCATGAAAAGATTGTACATCATTGCTTTAAGAAGTATTTTCAAATGCATTTAAAAAAGTCCTCAACTATGTATTCTTTTTTGACTCTATTACAAAACAGTGTGTTAATTGTTTGGTATACATTTTCTTTTATTTTTATAATTGATGCTATATGTATTTCACTCTGTAATAGATTTATTTTTGTACACATGTTCTAAAATAAGTATGAAAACTTATTGCTATAAATAAATAAATTCTCCATTGTAGATTAAATTTCTAATACATATGCATGATGGCTGTTTCCACCCCTGAAATATACCCCTTTTCTATAATTTATTCTCTATCTCTTGGTTTTATTTAGATGGTCTTGTATGCACTTTTTACTCTCTAAGTTGCTGGTTTAAAACTTTTTTTTATTTTTTTCTTTTATATATTTCTGTACTTTTTATTGCTGTTAGTTATTTTCTCCCCTTTTTGTTTTGTGCTTTATTTCAAGGGCCTCTGAAAATCCAAATGAAAATAGGATATCAAGGTAAGATATTATAAATAACTGTAATTTAATTGTCATTATACATAAGAATTTTTTTAATTGTTAAAAGTGTGTTTTAAAATATTTTGTTTGCTGTACGGTTTGTTCACTGATAAATAATTTACTGTACACTTTGTCCACAAAAGTCCTTGCCTTTTTTCATAACTGTTGGTACTAGACATATACCTCCAATGACAGAAATGTTTTAAATGATGCAGATATTCATGTTTTGGAATCTAATGTCTAAATGAACCAATTACATAAAAAATAAGAAATCTAACTTTTTATACTATATTTAGTTATTTACTTATCTTTAGGATAAGAATTAAAACACAAAACATTTGATTCTGATATGACAAAAATTGACCTAGATGTTTTATTTAAAAATTTGCAGTTTTTGCATATTCAAATTGCTTTGGGAGGTTGATTAATAAATAAGTTATAATAATTTAAGGTTGGATAGAAAAAATTCATTAAACAAGAAATTTTTTAACTTATGAAAATAATGTTATGAATTGAATATGTAACAATACTGAAGCCTAGCAATATTTTTTAAAACATGATCTTTGTAAGATTTTTTTAAAGGTTATATTTATCAATACTTTTTATGAAGTACCTTACTTAATTTGTTAAGATCAGAAACCTCTTTCTAAACTTAATTTTATTTTTCATTGCATACAAATACAGACATTTCACTCTTGAATTTGTGTATGGCTCCTGATTTTGATTTCCAGTTTTAAAACCAGATATCTTAGTAATTTTGTATCAATGTGACTCGCACATTTTTCTATTTTTAGTTTTTATGATAAGTATAAAATTTCTCTAAACATGTTTAAAGAGGGAAGTTAGTTTTCATAAATTTTTCAAATTTAAATTGCTAAAATATGAGTATTTGTATTGTATAAATTTTCTAACTGGAAATATATGTCTGTTAGCAACGGTTAAAAAAAATAAAGGCTTTGTAATGTCTTTTGTTGACATCATGTGTAAATTTGTAACTTTTAATTGCTTTTGATGCTGTTCTTTAAGTCTATGAATTTAAATAAATTACTTCAGCACATATAAGATTATTAATATTTTAACTTTTTTGTGTATTTATTGCATAAATATTGGCTGTGTGATATTTTAGGTGCTTGTACATGCAACTTGTTTCATAACACTGAAGCTATTGCACAAAACAAAAAGGGTATTTTAGGCCATACTTTAAACTTAATTCATGCTTTGGGGCTTGGCCTTCTAACATATTCCCTCATACTCTGTGAAAATTTCTTTTCTTGGGAAAGTGTTTCCATTTGCATTATTTGTCATTTATTTTTTAGGCCACCTGAAGTATACAATGATGCACTTAGAAATTTAGTTGAACATGACAAAATTAATGATGGTAAGTAAGTATATGGAAATAATTTTATGTCAGTATTAAGAAAGAGCTTAGATTAAAAAATTTTGTTTAACTGTATGTGATACAATTGCATTGGAATGTTGGAGAAATTAACCCCCCCCCCAACAGATGGTACTACTTGATTTTTGGTCATTTTCATCAATATTATTTTTATTTTATTTGAAATTAATTAATAGTTCAAACCTCATTCCCCTCTTTTTCTAAAGAGCACTTTTGATGATCTTTTGGCATTTTGCAATAAAATAAGGTGAGATGTCGAACTGTGCATTTTTTATCATTTTACTTCCGTAAAGGAAAGAATGCTTGTCAAACTATGAAAATTCGCATAAAGTTTATATGAATCATGCTTTACGACAGAAACTTGCCGACCAACCCTGTTTAAAAGAATGACTTTTTCATCGACCTCTCTCTCTTTCTTTTTCTCTCTCTAAATTTGTAAAACATCTTTATAATTTAATTTAGTAATAATCTTTTTAATTCTTCCCCCTTTTTTGATTTGGTTATTTCCTCTTTATTCTAAAAATAATAACAACATTTCTGGATTGTGCCATTTCTAGATGATTAAACCATGCCATAAAGCTTGCATAACGCAGATGATATAATTATTTCGGAACCTAAACTCTGAGAACTGAAATCTCTCTAGCGTAAACCAAAACCTTCCTCTTTGGCGAGCTGCCATATTGGATAAATGCATACTTGGTTTATATCTCTTGCTGCTTGGACGCCATTTCATTTCGCTGTGTTCTCTATTGCAATAGTATTGAAAAATGTAAATGTTCTGAAACTAGGTACGATTAGAGTGCCAAGTGAATTGTGGCTACAAATGTGAATTTAAATAAAAATGAATGGAATTTAATCAAAATTAGCCTTGACTGCCAAGTTTCTTATTCGTTATGGGTTAGCATTCAGCACAATCAAAATTCTCCCTTTTCAATATGCCAAACATCATTGCTAGACCTTTTTCACTTTTTTATTGCACGCACATATATATATATATATATATAAAATATACAGCATACTGCATAATCATAGTAAAAATAATTGCATATAAGTAACTTAAAACAATAATAATCAAACTAGGAATATTATTAAAAATTTTGAAAAAGTGATTTAGTTTATTCATTTTATTAGTTTTATAACATTATTGTTTTTAATTCTACATATCAAGTGTTCAGAAACAAAACCATTGATTCCAAATTACTCGAAAGTTAATTTTTAATTTATGTGATAGCTGTTCTTGATGTATCAGTTACAATTTTTTTAACATTTGGTGTAAAATTAATTAACATTATTCTTAAATCACCTCATTCAAAAATATTCAGACTGTGTCTTATTTTATATAGCAAATTATTGACTTAAATAAAGCCGTTCATTTTTAATTTATGTGATAGCTGTTCTTGATGTATCAGTTACAATTTTTTTAACATTTGGTGTAAAATTAATTAACATTATTCTTAAATCACCTCATTCAAAAATATTCAGACTGTGTCTTATTTTATATAGCAAATTATTGACTTAACTAAAGCCAATTTCTACTAGATAAGAGGAGGGAAAGATCAATAATGTTGAATCAGTAATATTTTTCTCGAATGACTTTGAATTCCAAAACTTAGTATACCCAGATAAATTGATTAAGATATATGGTTGGATATCTTTCTTTAATGCAGTCAAATCTTGCATTATAATATCAAGATTAGCTATATTACAGTTCAGTGGTTCTGTGAGATGTGCTGGCACATTCAGTTTTTCAGTGTCTTGGAAGCAAACGTTAAAAGCTTTTTTTAAATGTAGCGAAGGCTTATATAAACAATATATCTACTGAGGAAATACAATCCTTTTCAATAATGGATAAACTTATTAAGTTATCACATTAAGGGTTGATGTGATTGATCAGTTTGATTGATCATCAGGCCCTTTGATTCAGTTTCTATATAAACAGGTCACTTTTAGAATAAAGACCAAAGATAATAGAATTTTATATCAGTGAACAGTTAATTATAAATTTATTAATAAATATTTTATGATCAATGGAATGTTGGTTAAGCCATTAAAGTGCCGGTGTTTATTTCATATTGATCCCTTGATAATATTGATCCCTTGATCATCATTGGCCCTTTTTAAAATTTCACGACTTCCAGCTAATCAATATTGGGATTATATTGGGATATAATTATAATCCTTTTGGGATTTCTTGTTTCCAAGAATAGTGACAATAATTGTTCATGAAATCCTTTGCTTGTTGTTTTGATATCAACACTCATCAGCCGGGTAGTCCAACTAGTGTTAACCCTTTTGACCTGCCTTTTGCATGATTAAAATTTAACCATTAAAAGTAGTTTTTTTTAATGTTGTTAGTGTAATATGAGTTTAAACTTTTAAATTTTTCCTGTTTCCTGGAAATATCCTGGGATAATATGTCTCAGTGGAGGCTGTCCTAGTTACTGTCATAAATTTTGTTTTACATTCATTAATGCTTAATCCAATGTCTTTGGCTGTAGGCTCTAGATAAGTAAGTCTCCACAACTGCCTGTTTACTTCTGCCAATACTGTCAATGTCATCAGCATATGCTAGCAACTGCATAGATCTCTGAAATATGGTGCTTCTAGTTATAAAAATTTCCTTCTAGTTCCAAAATTTTAATTCCAGCATCTGTAAGTGGCCTTTCCTTTTCCAAGCCTTTGATATTAAAAAATTTGTATGCAAGTGTCACCCCCTTTCAGTGTAAAGTGATTTTAACTCTGCCAATTTACTCTCGATAAAGTCATTCTAGGTAGATAATCAGTTTTCTAGGAAATTCAAATTCCAGCATAGCTTGAAACAGCTTTTCACAATATCCGCTAAGCAGCTTTAAAATTTATAAAAAGATTAAAGGTATCAATATTATGTTCAATTGTTTTTTCCAAAATTTGTCTAACAGAATGAATTTGATGGATAACAGGTTTTCCAGCTTAATATCCACACTGGTAGCTACAAAGGGAGCCTTCTTCCCATTCAATAGGCATCTGCTCCATAGTTTAAACATTAAGTATAACCTTATGAACAGCATCAGCCAGTTCAGATAAAATCAAATGAGCAAGTTCTGCCATAATGCCATCTGGTCTTGTAGCTCTGTTTTATTTAGATTTCCAATAGTCTTCTTCACTTTACATAAGGATGGCACATCAGGTTCGAGAGTTCGATCATTTTCGACAACATTCGGGTCGATAGTTATATCAGCTTCCTCCCTTGGAAGATCTCTTCGACAGAGAAGATCTCTGAAGAATCCTCTCCTTCTTTTCAGCACTTCAACTATATCATTTGTTAGCTCGCCATCGCCTTTTCTACATGTAATTGTTCCAGGATAGGCAAAACAAGATAGAGTACTGAATTTCTGGTAAAATTTTCTTGATTCTTTTTGTGTTTTTAATTTTTCTATCTTTATAAATTGTTCCTCCATATGCCTGCTTTTTCATATGAAATAGTTTTTTTCCCCTTGTCTTCTCAACTCTTCATAATTTTCCTGTACGCCTTTAGTGTTTGTGAGTCATAAAGTGTATAGGCTTTGTTTTTCTCTTCAGTAATTTTTGCATGATCACAATCATACCATCCATATCGTTTATGCCTTTTTAGTTCTGGTAGAACTTCCCTTACAGCATCCTTAATTATTTTTTCATTTCATTCCCAGGAGAAGTGACCATTTTGTAAATCATCACATTTCAGTAGCTTTTCTTTTAATTTTTATAATCTTTCATAAATTTTCTGATTTCTGTAATCGTCACAAGTTTGCACAATGAGTCAACGTCCAAGATTCCATTCCTTTGTTGCCTATTCCGAAAGGTCTTACTTATCATCCTTTCAACCTGGAAATCACCAGAAAGTGATTGGAGTCAACATTTGGCACCATGGACATCCAAAAGGTATTTTCGGTGTCTTAGATCCATCAGAAAAAGATCACTCTGATTTAGTGTTTTTTCATCTGGGGAGAGCCATGCGACTTTATGTATATTTCTGTGTTCAAAGAAGATTCCTCATAAAATAAGTGCATTTACATTTGTAAAATCATCAAGTCTTAAACCATTATCACTACTTTCCTCATGTAAACTGATTAACCCCAGGGTTTTCCTTTCATCTGATGCCAGTTTTTGTATCAAAATCGCTGATAATCAGTTTTATGTCATTTGAGGGCATTTGTCATAGGAGTTTTTAGGTTTATCATCAAACTCAGCCTTAATATTGTTGCATTTGTCCTCAGTAGATGCGTGTATGCCGATAATACTAATATTTTGAGGACAAACTTGAATCCACGCTTAACAAATCCTTTCATTTGTAGGTTTGAAGTCTATGATTCTTTCTCTTATTTTCATAGTTACTACAAATCTTATCCCAAAGCAGTGCTCCTTATCCTGACAGCTATATAAAACAGTGAATCAATTTTTATTAAAAATTCCTTGGCCAAGTCATCTGATCTCTCCTGAAAGGCCAAAATGTCTTAATTTATAATTCTCAATCATATCAACCAGATTTTTAAGTGCGCCACTCTTGTGAGTATATGCATATTCCAAGTACCAATATACAAGTTTGTTGTTCTATGTCATCTCGGTGGTATCTGACCGTGATATAGCCCTTGAGTTTCTGAACTGGAATTTTTTTGCGGGGAGCGGTAGTTAGTCCCACACTCAAGCACTAGCATGGAGGACCAGTCCCCTGATATAATTCCCAGGGGTAGGGAATTGTGTAGAATTGGGTGCCCTTTCGATTAGCATCAAATTTTGTTCAATTTTGGCCATGAAAACTCATTTTTGGTTTATTCATTCATTTACTATGATACTCATGAACTCATTTACTATGCTAGTTTTAACTTTATTTTAGATTCCTGATTTTTTTAAGTGCAAATGAATTAATATGTACATCGACAAAGTTAAGGCATTGTGCAATGCTTAGTTTGTGCAATTTTCTGATTTTTTTTTAAAGTGAAAATCGATCGAAGTGTACATGGACACCAAGTTTGTGCAATTCTTTGACTTTTGTTTTGTGTAGCAGCCATCTTGAAATTGTGCCTTTCTCGTGCTGATTTTGGCATCAAAATAAAATCACCAAAAAAGCAAGTGGCACCCAAAACGTTTACCCAATTTTAAATTTAATTGTAAACTTTTACCCAATTTTAAATAGAATTAAATTTGCAAGAAGGGAAAGATAAAACATAAAAAGAAGTTCTTATCAGTTTTTTAAACTGTATTTCTGTTCTGTCAAAAACTGTCAAATGGCAATAATTACATGTTTTACACTTCTTTTAAAATAGTATAACTAATTTTGTTGGTTCATGCTGTAGATTTATATCATATCTTCTTTTGAGTTTATATGTTTTGATATCATGTGTCATATACAAATTCATAAAATTATAATTCACAATTTCTAAAAAATCCATGATTTCAAACATGTAAAGATAATTTTGGGCATTAAGTGTAATTTCTTTTAGCGAATGGTTTCAGTTTATCAAAATCAGATTATCAAAAGTATACTCATTATCTTTTCAATGAATATTTGAGAAAGGTCACTTGAAATGCTTTGACAATTTTTCCATAAGAATATATTACAAAGTCAGTTACTCAATCACTAAAATTTGTTCCACTGTGGAGAAAATCTCCATGTTGCACCAAATAAACTGGTTTTAAAGCTAACAGTATAAACTGCAACTGAAATTTCAAGTGATTAATTTCTTGTTAGAAGTGTCATCCATTGAAACTTTGTATTAATATCCATTTTGGAGTCATTACAATTTTGAAAATTTATAATGCATGGCTTTTTGATCATCCAGTATTTATTTTCTGTGGAACAAAAATAAAAAGTTGTAACATTTTTTTTTCCCATCAAGCAAGTAAGTAAAAAATAAGATAGTAATCCAGCACTTCAAAATTTTCTACTTTTGTGTACAACATTTGTGCAAATTTATATAAAGTAATATAATTTATTCATCACTCAGTTGTCATATTTAACATTGAGGAAGCTCAGAATACCATGTTGTTACATCTGTCAAGTGTACAGTGTAGTTAGAGAACTTTGAAGAATGGTAGAAATTTCTGCCATGGATTTAAAGATGCTAAAAATAGGAAGTGCAGTTTTGATTATTTGTGCTCAAAAACTGAAAACCTGAAATAGATATTTCAACATCATATTTGAGATTGATGAGGTTACAAACATAGATTAAACACTATAGTTATGTTCTTGTGTGATGAGAACTTTTTAAAATATATGCAAAATTTTAGAATATGTGCAAGATTTTAATGCTTACAGTTGGCAATGAAAGGCAGGATGTCAGATATTAGAGTAAAAGAATTATTCTTTTGTATCGTAGACCGACCAGTAGTAAAGTCACTGAACACTGGTAGTTCAGATTGCATGGATGTGGCTGTCTGCATGGGTGTTTTCATGGTATTCCCCTTATTTAATGTGCACGAGCTAGTTTCCCTTAGAATGTAATCCACGAAAGGCATTCCTCCCCTCAGGCAGATAGCCCTCAAGGGCTTTGCCTTAGTCAACTAAACCAAGCCAAACTTTTGTATCGTACTACTTGTCTCCTACTCTGAAATCGACAGGTTTGTCCTGGATGCTGAGAACTGTTGAAATATTACTACTGCAATTATTATGTAAAATATTGTATTATGTTTATTACATTGCTGTCCTGTTCACTATAGCAGTTTGGGAAGCCAACTGTCATAGTGTTTGGCCCCGGATTGAATTTTGAAGAGACTGATGTTGCGATTGTCTGTTATCTCTTCTTGCAGATGAGATGCCAACCTTTGAGGAGAGCTATAACTCTACTGATACAATAGTATAGTGATAACTGATTTATCTAGTGATTCTTAACTGAATCAGTTATACTAGTAATCAGTTTGTAGCAATTTTTGTCATGTAATAGAAGGTAGAAATCACTATTAATTCTAGAAATCCTATAATCACTGGCATTTCTACATCTGTAATATCATTTTACTCCATCTGTTTTCTGTAATGAGACAGCTAAGTGATCATTGAGTGTAGCCATTCCCAAACAATGTTTAAGAGAATTCTCTGCACTTAATAAGCAAGTTACCCAGCCATTTGGAAGATAAGATATTTATTCCACTTAACATGTGGAATCACTTCATGTTGAGTGATTATTTCAAGGCAGAAATTTAGGATTGATTTTGTATACAACAAAAGGACTTTTGCGGAGAAGGAATCCAGTCAGTGGAACAAGTAGAACTACTACCAGGTCTACTAGCTATTCAAGTGCATATCAAAAGAAACTTTTCTAGGAATCTAGAGTGTCAGGCAAAACTCATTTCTGTGACCTTGTAAAATGTTCTGAGTACATACCCACAACACATTGCTGAGTGCAGATATTTTGGCTAGAAATATCTGCTTCAAAGTAATGTTGGAAGAAACCTGTTTCTTGCAAAAGATTTTTTATAGCATTTCTATGTTTGATGCCTTGATAAGTTATTGTAAGTATTTTGAGGTACTTGCAATAACTACTAGTGCCTTGATAGTTATTGTAAGTATTTTTGGATAACTTAATATTTTAAAAGGTTTTGATTCTACTTAGTATCAATGCATATGATTGGCTATTATTTTAGCTATTTTTATAGTACTTTATTAAACCATGAAAATAGGTTTTTAATTCTAAAAACTAATTTAATTAGAGAATGACCATTTTAATAATTCATAAATACCAATAGGGTCAACACCAGTCAACCATGCTCCTCATCGACCCCTACCTCCAACCCCTGATGAGGATGAAAATAATGATAGGACTCTTGTTCTTAGAAGAGTAAGTGTGATACTTTGAATCATACTTAAATAAATACATACTGCATTTTCTTTTAAATAATTCCTATGTTATTATTCTGATTTCTGAATTATTCTCAGTGTCATATATTGGTTAGGTTATTTAAACAGTTTCTATATTATTTACACATGTATTTTAGTTTTTATGTTAGTTATACATTTTCTGTATTATGATGATATGTGGTATTCATGCATACAATAATCATATTAACACATGCAGACATATGCATGTATTATTCAGTGTAAGAGGGGGAAGAACCATAAAACAAAATTAATTTGCAAAAACATTGAAGACGTCAAATGGCAAGAAAATCCTCCTCCCTAATAAAAAGCCCTAGAAGGCATTTAAGAAAAAAGGCATGTAAAATGTTGTAACAGTATTAAAATGAATAAGAATGCACAGTCTGAAGAAAGAGGTGCAACGATATGCAAAGGATTTGGAAGGAGGAATGCTTTTAAAAGGAAGCTGGATGACCTTTTCCTCCTTCTTCAGGAGAATAAATTGCATACGCTAATTTTCTTTTGGATGCAGTTTTCATTTTTTAAAAATTATCTTTTTAAATTATCTTTTTTTAAATTATCTATGTTATTAAATTGATTGCCTGTATTATTTTCAATAATGCCATTTTATGCTGTTTTGTTCTGTTAGATATAATTTTTGGAATGGAACATCCTAAATTATAATAGAAGTAATATATTTCTTTTTAGCTAATACTTCTAGATTTTTCCTTCAATTAGATCAAAAAAAAATTTTTTTTGTGTGTTTTTTATCTGTGCTCAATATGTGTAATTTTGATTGCCTGTAAGTAATTTATTATTTTAAACATTTCATCTGTAACTGAGTAATTAATATGAGCCCACCTCCTCTCTCAGTCTCATGAATATATTCTAAAGTTTTAATACACTGGGCGATGAAAGTATGAAAGCCAGTGCTTATTGAAATATTATGAAGGTCATGCCCAATGTTGCTAGCAGAAGAACAGCACTACAACATTACTGCTAGTGTTTACTTGACTGTTGATCGAGTATAGTTTGTTGTATGTATTGCATCAATCTGATGATATAATTGTTTTCAGAATCAGGATTTATTAGATTCTGGTCCTGAGAACTGAACTATAAAAGGTGGATCATATGTTTAATCAGGCTAATTTGCCAGTAGTTTTGGAGTGCATCAATACAAGCTTATTTTTGTTACACTTCTTAAATTTGTAACCGTTTTTGCTAAGAAATGCCAAATCATAATTTACGGATCATATTTATGATCTCAAATAAGGCTGTAATAGATTAGACAAATTGCAAGTTTTTTTTTTTTTTTTTTTCCCTGGAAGAATTTCTGATAAATTTGTTTTGTTGCTCTGTAATAGGAAAAGCTGGTAGGTAAATAATTTATTTTTTGGGAAGCTTTAGTAAAACAAATATTAGATACATTCAAAAGGTATATAAAAGGCATTTCTAGAGTAATGAAGTTTGACCCTGGAAAGCTAAAAAATGTTAATCTCAGAATTCATCAAATGAGTCTGTTAACACACAAGCAAATTTTCTACCATTATTTTTTTTTAGTTTTGTTGTTATTTTAGAGATTTTCTTCTTTCATACAGAAAATTTTCTTTTCCATTGAAATTGCCTGGAATTTCATTTTATTTCAGTCTACATAAAAAGGAAAGACAGCAATTAAATATGAAATGCTGAAGTAGGTACATAATTTAGCCATAATATTAATCTTGTCCAAACCATAAATTGTTTTGGTGCTATGAAAATTTAAAATAGAGGAAGGATGGTTAAAATTTAAAATTACATATTGGGGTAATAAATTATTTGTTGTATTATTTTAATTTTAATATGTTTCTATTAAAGCATGTATTTTTAATTTTGTTTTTTGTTTATGATTTTTGTCTTTTCTGTTTTTAAGTTGATTTATTGCTAAGAAATAGGTTTCCTTGGGATAATGGAAATAAATAATTAGCCTCATCAAATTTACTTACAACTCACATTATTGCAGAACCATTCAAATAGACAAGAGCACAACAGGCGCATGAGGAGTGAAAATGAAAGTAGCAATAAGTGCCAAGAAAAGGCAAAAGATCGCTCTAGTAGTAATTTAGAAAAAAACCAACGAAGAAGGGATTCTGGGCCCATTGAACGCAGCGATGTCAATAAAACCAAGAACGAACAAAGGCATCGTTCATCATCTACTCCATTACACAAAGCAACATCATCTCCTTTTCCTTTAGCTACCTCAACTCCTAATCAAAACGGCGAATCAAATCATAAGAAAGAACGAATAAATAATTCTAGGCATGACTCGAAGGTAAATAGTATAGTATGAGTTTTCTGTTTTGCTATAGACCTTTTAAGTTTCTTCTTTCGGTTTGCAATTTTTTTATTATTTTAAATAGATATTATGAAAAACAATAATGATACAGTACAAAGTTTGAAATCCGGACTCGTCGGGACTTCAGCGATTCTGGATTTGGGATTTTTCTGGATATTAGATCATCAATTTAAATCTGGCAAGATGGCATGCAGAAATTATACAATTAAAAATATGAAATTGTAATTTATGAAATAAAGAACAATTATGATCTGAAAGGTAACAAAAAAAATGCTTAATATTTATTTGTTTATTTTATTAAACATTTCTTTCAATATAAGTTGTTTAAGTTGCTTCCACAAAATATTCAAAAAGTTCCTTTTTCTTTTTTCTTATGCCATGTACAGTTGACTTTCCAATGCCATACTCCTTGCATAATTTTGAGATGGATATGCTTTTATCCATTTTTTGAAGCAATTCCACGTTTGCTTAATGGACATCGAAACATGGTTTCACTTTGTAGATGCTTTGGCAGCTGCAGAATCAGAAACTCTTTTCGACACAATCGAAAGTTCAAGTTTAATTTTTATAAAATTGCTAATAATAAGTGTCTGCAAAAATTAATAAGCTGAATCAAACTAGAAGATTAACGAGCAGCCAGTCTGCTACATAACTGAAATGCCTTAGAATCAGTAAAGATAATTTTAGCCTAGCTGAATAGTGTCCGTTATACATTATTGGCTCTATATCACAAGATTGGCGACGAAAGCCAAGTAAATGTTGTCTTGCTCCTATTGCGTACTAAATTAAGCCTGAATTGTATTAGTTTAGTTATTTACTATACCGACGTTTATTTCTTGCACATGCACATCCTGAATAAAAAAACTCCTACATATGCTTGAGATCTAGGGCCAGCACTAAATTCCGCCTGGTGCAGTCTCTAAGAGTCCTAAATTCTGCTACAAAGTGCCTTCCTAAGTTCTAAATTTTCACTGTATCTAAACTTTGCATCTTATTGCTTTCCCTAAATCATAAAAAACTTCTCATTCCTTAATTTTGCCACTCGGTGCTTCCCGAAATTCCAAAAATTTCGTCTTCCCTAAATTCTGCCGTCCGGTGCTCGTATTCTGCCGCCACTTCTAAGTTTATGGTGAATAACATATCAGTTATTCTTAATTAAAATAGTACTAAATGTAATCTTTTGGCCTATGAGTTAAATTAACAAAATCTGTTTTTAGCATATGAAAAGAAATTTTCGTTGAATTTTTTCCTTGTCAACATTTCTTACAGCATTTAAAAATCTGTAATCATCGCCAAGCGTATGTTAGCATAAAAGGTTGCCATACTCTTGTTATTCAATTACTAATATAAAAAAAAGTTTAGACATCACTGCATGAGTTATTACTGAAGCTGTCATGCATTGATAAACGTGTGGTGATGAAAGCAAAATATAATAAAAAAAAAACCCTGAAAGGTTCCAGATTTCAAATTACGTCCAAAGGGGTGTTTTTTTTAATGTTTTGTGTGTTACCTTTATTTATTAAATATCATTTTTTTAATAAAATTTAAATTTAAATTGTTAACTTTGCTACGTACATATGATTTTCTCACCAATTGTGTATGGTTAATAAGTGCTGATAATGTTCTTCGCACTTAAACCATACATTTCATTTCAATAGCAATGTCGCAGAATAATTTTAAAATGAGCCCATCTTTAAAATTTCCAATACACAGTTCCGCGCTGGAGATAAAAAGCCCTTCCCGCCTGTAGAGTTAAAGTTTTACAAAATATAAAATCGATAGTAAAACAAATTGCAAATTTCAAATTTGGGCTTCCACATGCCCATATTCGCAGTAGGATTACATCATTCAAAATTTGATGGCTTTATGTACTTTTGTTTTATTACAATGCGAGAAATATACATACATTTATGCAGATTTATATTATTTAATTTCTTCAAATATAATGCACGACTCTAACATTTGGTGGCAACACTTTGAAAAGTGAAATGGACATTTATAGTGATTCAATCGCAAAATGAAAACAATAGTCCTTCTGGGACAAAGCCCCTTTGGACTCGTAATGACTTGCCAGGTCGCCATCAGGGATATAAATTAGGTGAATGTTTCAGTTTGAGATGTATACCAAGCAGATGCTGAGCTATGGAGCCAAATTATTAATCTCACAAATTTATGCTTACATGATTGTTTTCCCATAACAAGGTATTTTATTTAGTGTCTAGGTGAAATTAAGAATCGGAATTTTTAAGTGAAAATCTTCACATGTTTTATTATGGAAGGCGCATGCGTAAAGCATTAATAATAAAAAAAAAATGTTTATGGCTTTGAGATCCAGATTTTAGATCATTCGGAATAATGGACGTCTGGATTTCAGACTTTGTACTGTATATTTATTTGGCTTAAGAATGCATATTAGATTTCCAATTGCATTTTGTTTTAAATTAAAGTTATTTAGCTCATGTTAATGTTAAACAGAGAATCTATACATATTTTGGAAACTAAACTGTGGCATACATTTTTCTACCAAGATAAGTTATACCATGATAAGTATAAATATATTTGCAACATAAAAGTTTTAAATTGTTAACGTTAATACATACATATGATTTTCTCACCAATTATGTATGGTTAATAAGTGCTGATAATAATAATTAAACTCAGACCTCATGGAAATCATCATTTAGATTGTGATTTGAAAATCTGTGTAATTTTTAAATTATTAGTTAACTTGACTTCATTGTCAACTTAATGTTTAATTTTTGTATATTCTGAAACAAATATACTGAGTATCTATTTTATAAAGAATTGAAAATTAAACTAAGTATAGAGAACTAAAGCATCTACTGAAGGTTTACTACTTTTTTTGAAAAAATTGGGCTGTTAATATTGTTTATACTTGTGAACCCTCAAATGTTTATAAAAACCCAATCAAGTGAATGATAGTTTTATAAGTTTTCAGTTTAATTTGAATTTTTTAGCAAAATCATTCTTTATTTGAATAAATTGCATTTCAGGTACTGATAAAAGTGTTGGTAAGAAATGAAGAAAAATTTTTGTTTTAAAGGAAGAGCTTTTATCAAGTTTTGAGGAAAACATTATTTTTTTGTGAAACATTATGGTTTATAAAAATGATGTAATCAAATATCTATATTTTTGGGAGTAAAACAAGAGGTCAGTCAAAAATTAATTCAAATAAAATAGAAACTCCTTATCTGGTTCCTTATCTGATGAGCTCCAGAGACAATTAGTGATAATCCTTTATTAGTGTAATATAATAAGGGACAACTCTACACTCTCGACTTATATTCAACACATCTTAACTACATTCTAATCATTAAAAAATTTTTTAAACAGTTATAATATATTAGTGTCATCTGCTGGCTAGAGTTCGCAACATCCTTTGGGGCCAAAAGTTCATCAGGAGACAAAAACATTCTTTTCAAGTGTTGATTGAGAGTTCCAGACAACATTACACTTGCACAGGTCTCCTAATGAGAGTTCCATTTGAAAGTTTCATGCTGCTTGCACGGACATGGCCATCACATCCAAAATGCAATTCTGTCACAATGCCTATTTGCGATAAAAGGCTAGACATGTTGCCATCTTTTATCGAAATCACGGTATTCTCTTGAAGTTCTGTGGCTGAGTTGACTGGTCATGATTGATGAGATGACCTAAGCACAAGAAAATAAGATTCCTACCATGTCTTTCACATTAAGCAAATCTTTTTGGTATCTTTTCATTTTCAAAAGTTGGGATTCAGAGAAAGCAATCTCTTTCATTGCTTGAGGAAGAGTCGATAATTGTTGATCGATCAAGAAATGTCCAAGTGTTAGTGGTTCTGTTTCATCTGAATCTCTGAAAACATAAGTGGGAGGGCTAAAATTGATAATTGCCTCTGTCTTTATCAATATAACTTCCATTTCTTATGATGAAACTGATGTTCTTCCTAAGATTCTTCTCAGCCTCATCTTAACTAAGCATTCTCCAAAACCACCCTACCAGATCAGTCCTTTTGACAATAAATTTCCATTTGATAGATAACTTCCCAAATAAATTTTCACTTCTTCCTCTGTTACGATTTTCAGAACAGAAAACAGAAAGATGTAACAGAAAACAACAGGATAAATACCTTCAGTACTATTTGTATATAATTATATATATATATATATATATATATATATATAATTTTTTTGAGTAGTATGAAATTTTATTGGGACATACATTTTCAGTTTTCCCTATTATAAAGATCTATGTTTTCACGCTGTTGTTATCCTGATCTAATTTTTATTTTTTCAGACATTTATCTTACTGAGTTCATTAATTTCTTTATTAGTTATATGATCTTTTAGATATAATGAAATTATCTTTAATTTGAAAAGACATATTTTGTAATCATATCATTAATCAGAAGATAATTTAATTCTAAACTCATTTTTATCATATCTTGTGTTATTCGTCTCAAATAGAAAGCTTTTACTAGTTCTTAGGTAGAGATATTCAAGTACCATAATACTATTTCAATTACTGTTATGAAAATTCTAAACTAAAATTTGTTTTTAGTCTTGAAAATGCTTTTAATAAATAATCTAAGATTTTCATTGTTCTGTGAATAGTTATACCCTGGATGCAGGTATAATTAATCGATTGGTGATAATAATTTCAGTGTTCTTTGAAATTTTTTTAGAATGACAAAGACCGAACAGATAGGAGTGCACAAAGTTCTAGTTCTGACCGTGGTCCTTCACAGCGTATGGAATCTTCACAGAGTTCTCCTGGAAATATTGGTATGGCAGCTACTCGTTCTATGGGTGTTTTGCCTGACCTTTTGCAGCAACATGCGTCTAATACATCTGGCCATCAGTCATCACCTCAGCATAGGCTTCAAGATTCTACTACATCAGATGAGGTTTAGAGATTTTAAAATTTTAATGTTAATTTTTCTCAGAAAGTGTAAATGTGAAAAACACTTGATCATCGGTTTTGCAGATATTTAATGGAATGTATTTCATTACTGTAAAGCATAGATCTCAGTGTGGGTATTAAGGGATCTTGGAACAGAAATTTTAATATTCAGTTTTTCAGAAAGTATACCTATGATTAAACACTGATATTATCAATACTTTGTATAACATGTTGGGTCACCGGTGACCAGCATTCGACATGGCTACAAGTGTTGTGGGTGCCACCAGTGACGTGACTAATAGTAAAATACATAATTAGAGTAAATAGCGATACTGGTAAATTTTTAAATAATACCATTGTTACTATAATGGTTTGAAGAATAATAAATCTTAAAAATGTAAATTATAAATTGCAATAATGGTCTACAGCGCCTTGGGGGTCACCGGTGACCTCCCACAATGGAAAATGCATTAAGCACAATTATATAACTCACATTATCTGTAGATAATATTTCAACATAATATACATCGCATAATAAAAATTTCAAGTTGGCGTCATGGGCAAACCATGTCAAATGCACACGGCAGTCAACGTGATAATGTATTTCATTACTGTAAAGAGTAATTCCCACTTTGGGCACTGACAGTCTAAGCAACCAGACCTTGCTACATCACAAAAACTGGTATACGAATCTTGTATAAATATTCTAATTTTTTGACTTCATGCCAACTTGGTCTGAAAAGCAACCAATCACAGCGAAGTAAAAACATTTGGCCAACAGTTTTGCTGAGTCATTTACACGTGTGCAACTACTCTTCTCTGACTGACTACAGTTTAAATCTTCTTGCACAGGTGTTAAACAGACTTAATGACTTTTATGGTACAAGAGACAATAAAAGAATGGTAGCCATCGTCTGAACAAAGTCTTAGGGGATATGGGAGTCGTTATGGTACAAGAGACAATAAAAGAATGGTTATATCTGGACTTTTTGATTGCAACTGGCATAAGCTGATCTTTTATGTCTAGCAACCTGTTGTCTTATCCTCCGAGTCTTGGTTCTTTTAGCTAGATTTTCATCATAGTAGGGATATGCAGTTATCTAGATAGGTAGGTAGACAAACCATTAGTTGTACATTTATATAAATAAACTGAAAGAAATAAATAGGTAAAGAGGTACACAGGCAATGAGATAGATAGGTTAATATGTTGCTGATGCTGTATAAAACAGACACTTTGACATTAATTAATTTATTATTTATAACATCTGTCTCATACTAATAGAAGTTTCTCATACTTTTGCTTTTTAGACATTATATGTCTTAGACAGTTAATGGTTGTCTAGACAACCAGATCTCGTTACATCAGTAATATAAGGAATTTGCCCATATACCTAGTATAATAATTTGAAGCTGTATAAGATTAAATATTCTGACTTTTCAACTGTATGTCAAGATGGCACAAGACTTCTGTGAAATTTTCTGTAACAACATGTTATGAAGGTTAAATGCAATAAATGGCACTCATTTACCAAAAATAAAAAATCCTCTATTGATTCCTTCTAATTCAAGAATAAAGACACTAAAAATATAATTCTTATGATTCTGCCATGTCTGTGTATTTTCAGATACAGTATCTTGGGTTTTAGTAGAGCTGCTCATAAGCTCTGACTCGTTTTATGCACCGAATTTCACAATCTAAACTACCATAAAATAGTGCTGCAATCAATCAAATGTACAAATATGCATCTAACATAAATTGAAAAAGAAATGTATTCAAATTTTGAACAACACACAAAGTAAAACAAATGTACTCAAACTTATAACAGCACAAAATACAAAATAAGCACATATCTGCACTTATTTCTGATAGACTTAAATATATGTTTTTATTAAATGCAGTTACCATAAGTCTTCCACCTCTTTTATTCCCCCTCTCACTTTTTCCTCCCCACATTGAATTTTTTTCCCTTGTTATAAAATTAAGTGTTCTTAAAATGCCAAATTATGTTGTATATTATAAATCTTTTTTAACCCCCTTTTATTTGGTTTTACAGTACAGGCAAGCTGTTGGGAAAGCACCACCTCAACTACAGCACAAACAACGTTCCTTTCTTACATTTGGGTTTGGTGCAGGTGGAACTGGTCCCTCTCCATCTCCTAGGAGAGAGAGCCATGTCAATGTTAATGTCACACCTACATCCCATGAATCATCAGCAGATACTCCTGAAATTCGGAAGTATAAAAAGAGGTTCAATTCAGAAATTCTTTGTGCTGCTTTATGGGGCAAGTATAAAGTTAACAATAATTTTTTTTCTTAAAATTTTTGGAAGTCTATATATTTTTTAAATAAGCTGCCCTCTTGAAATGCAAGAATAACACACTCTTGTACTCTTGTATTTCACAACAAATGCAACAAAAAAGTTTTTTTTTTTTTTTAAATTTTGAATATTAGTTCAATTTATGTAATTAAATGCACATATTTTCTAGTTTAAACAGTCTGAAAATGCAAGTAAATTGGTAATAGTATTTTATCATTAATTATAATATAGTTTAGTCCTGTTTCCTAGGTTTCTCTTATATTTTGTATAATTTCTGAGTTTCTACACTAGGAATACAAGTACTAAATCTAGGATTTTGTATACTTGTATGGGGCAATGTACTTTGCTGCCAAAATAGATAATCCATCGATGTTGGCAAAATGTATTCATTTGTGCAACAGACAGTTGGCAGTCATTAGTGTTTATTTTTGTTGTATTAATAATGGTCATTAGTATTTGTTTTTATTACATTGAGCTCATTTCCCCCCCCCCCTTGTAAGGAATTGTAATAAGGCTGCGGAGTTTTCCATCTGAAGAGAGCATTGGATTTCTTCAGAAATACACCATTTCTTAATAGTAAAGAATGCAAAAATTTGCATTCTATGAAGTTGTACTCATAAGTGATATAATTTTATGGTTTAAATATGTATATTAATGCAATTATCTGGTGTTTTTTTAAATAAAGATGGTTCACTCTATAAACAGAAAAAGTGCTAAGTCTGTGCAATTCTTTGATATTTTTTATGTGAAAACAGATTGCTGTGTGGTTGAAAGAACAAGAGTATGTGTAGTGCCACATTGTGCCACTAAGTTTCTGCAATTTTCTGATATTTTTTCAAAACAGATTGAAACATGGAGAGAACAAAAAAGGGAAAATGTTTTATTGTAGATGTATCTTGTGTTTTTAATTTTATTCATTGTTTGCTTTTTTATGCAAATCTTAGTGATCTCCAGTTTTTGGAAATGGCTATTGTATTTTATATCTTGGAGAAAAATTATTTGGCAATTGTTGGTGACTTTTCAAGAGAAAGTGCTGATTATAAGGAGGGACCTTTTCTCTGTCCCCCCTTTTTTTTGTTGTTGTTGACTTATCATTGAATATTGATCTCGATATTATCCTTATAAAAGGTAAACTGACTATATTTGTATTTAGAATGTAGGTTCAGTAACAAACGTAAATCAGGTACATAATTTTTTTTTTTTTTGAAATTGTATACATAGGAAAGTTCTTCTGTTCCACTAAAATCTGATTTTTATAAGTAGAATATATACTAATATTTACTCTTGCTTAGTTGCCATATACTTGCTCTTTGACTAAATTCAGAATATGTCTTCTACTTTGTTTTGTGAGAAAGAACAAAGAAATGATGTGTAAATCATTGTTCTCAAAATGTTTGTGTAGCATAATTAAACATGTAGCATAAGTTATGTTTGCTACGTATCTGTGTAACATAATGTTGTGTAGCGTAAATTATTTTTAAGGAATAATATTTATGTAATTTTATTAGAATCTAAATATTAAATCACATTTTAAAAGGGGGGAAAACTTTTAAGTTTCAAATTTAAAACTTTTTATACATGAAAACATATACTTGGTTATGTATTTATTTACCTGAGAAGTATTCATATGGAAATTTTCCCTTATCTTGCCAAAAATGTTCTTCAAAGGGCAACAGTTTCAGTAATTGTTAATATGAGTATAAAAAAATTCACCTATAATTTAAATTGGTTGAACGTTGAAGAGAGTTTTCATGCATGCAGTTCATACATGCAGTTTTTTTTTTTTTTTTTAAAGTCAAATAAGGTTTTGAGTGCAACAAAACTTGGAATTATTGGAAAATTGTTTCTCTAATCCTAACATTGGTTATGCCATCTCTAGGATTTAAATGACAGCATTTTATTATCAGCTATGTAGGCCATTTTTAATACCAATTTTGATATATTGCTATTAAATTAACCTTTTAACTCCTATAAATATTTTGAATTAAAAGCAACGAAGTTTTACTACATTAAAAAAACCCCTTCTTATTCATTTGTAAATAACATTTTTTATATTTTTTATTAACCATACCATAAAGTTTAGTCATTTTGATCACCTGAAATTTAACGCTGAATGAATGTTTCGTGAATGCAGCAAAAAGATTCGAGACATAGTATAGTTTTTGTAATGTATACAGAGTAGTGTTTTTTTACTTACAAATTATTTTCTGTTGATCAAAATTATATCTGATTTCTTTTGTGACTTATACAATACAATAATATTAATTTAATTATTGCTTTGCAGGTGTAAATCTATTAATTGGTACTGAAAATGGCCTTATGCTGCTTGATCGCAGTGGCCAGGGAAAAGTGTATCAACTAATTTCCAGAAGAAAGTTTCAACAAATGGAAGTTCTTGAAGGTCAAAATATTCTTGTCACAATATCAGGCAAAAAGTGTCGTGTACGAGTCTATTATCTCTCCTGGCTGAAGAGTAAAATATTACGTACAGATGGGGTAAGTGTAGAAGCAAGTATCATTTCTTTTTTTTTTAAATCTTAATTATTAGAAGCTAAAATTTGTTGTGCATTTAATTACAATGTATAGTATTTTATTTCTTTGCTAGCTATATTCTCATTTATAGTATGATATAATTTTTCAAGAGACTTAGGGTTGTATGTTGTATCTTGCTATAGAAGCAACATGTTTAATTAACATGTCTTTAAATTTATAATGTAGAGGCATGCAAGCCTTGCGAAAAAGAAATCGCGAGCATGTTATCATGATCTCGTCTTGAACCTGCGCTTATGAAGCCTACAAATCAACCAATTCGTTCATTGTGGATGTATTACAAACACCAGTCATCTGTTATATTTATAGATCAGATTCTTAAATTTCTATTGGTAGGCAAAAACCACTCTTTTTATGGGATCAGAGCAGAACCATTCACTCAACTGAATTGGTTCTCTTTTTAAGGCTCACTAACAGTAACTTTTCACACATTAACTTTTTATTTCATAAAACAGTTTCACACATTAACTTCCCAAGCTCTTTTGCTTTTAGATTATCCACTAGGTCATTCAAAATCACTCAATAATCTAAATTTAAAAAATGAAACCCTTCTTTAATTAGATCACTGCTATAATTGTGGTTAAGGGCATCTTGAAACTTTCAAAGTTTTGAGAGCTCTCTAACTTACATTTCAACTAATTCAGTCATTATTTGTTCATTTTGAATCATAGTCACTTTGTGTATGTTCTTAAATTTACATCAAACCTTTGGTTTTTTAACAAAAGTAGAAGTTCTGATAAATTCTTATAATATATATATATATATATATATATATATGCCCCTGATTTGCAATATATAATTATTATTTTGTGTGCTTTTCAGATTTACCCACAATTTAATTTATTTTACCTAATGAGAAGTACCATAATTTGCTAGTTAATCAAGAATCTAGCACAATTATAAATGATTGTTATCACAGTAAAAAAAAAAAAAAAAAAAAAAAAAAAGTAAAATAAAAGACTGACCGTCACATATTTTATTAACATTTTAATTTTATAATGTGCCGCCATTTACGACTGCAAACCAAATCTAAAATTTTTCATTGAACAGCAGCTATCTCATGTTGAAAATTGAGTCGAAAATTTGAAGACACATATTCCCAATTTTCTGATAAAAATATTCTAAACATTCTTTAAATGATGAATCAATTTTCTTAAAATTTTCAATGCTAGATGTAAACATTTGATTTATTAGTTTTGTTAATTCCAGTTCAGTGGCAGGAAATATGAGAAGCTATTTTCTGTTAATTTAAGTGCGTCGAGCATTACTATTATTTACGTCAAGCAAAAGTAGAATTTTTCCATACCTTGTATTTCAAGTTTATGGGCTGTTTCTGAATTTGAATGGAATAATCTCACATTTCACTAGTTTGAAGAATAAAAAATTAATACAGGTTTTTAAATGTACCAACATCTGTAGGAGCTATGAGTAGAATTATTATATTTTCCTAAAATTTTATGTATCATTGTGTGTACAGAAGACCAAAAATTTGCACTGTTTGGAGAATGAGGTTACATAGATTTTAGAATTTTGTGGATACCAAACCATGACTGAAGATTGAGACAAAAAAGTGGAGAAGAGACACACATAAAAAACATTAATTTCTTTTTTGACTTTTTTTTTATAAAAAACAAATAAAAATATATTAAAATTTTATACAAAAGAAAACATGAATATATAGGTAAGTAAGAAATAATTTTTTTTAAAAATATTTTTCAAATGTCTATCTGTTTACAGTAGCTTTTTTAAAACTTCAGATTTACCTGTATTGGATATTAATTTTTTCAAATTATATTGAGTTATTATTTCTTAATATGACACACTCTTTTATTGTTCTAAATTTATTTTTTCCCTATTACTTGAAAGAAAAATTACGAGTTTATATAGGACACTCTGTTATGAAGTACCGTTTTTAGTTCTAGTTGTAATAAAAGTTAAAAATTCAAGTACTTTTGTAGTAAATGGGAGTGATTGTCACCAAGCGTTAAAGTCAGCATGAAATATAGCCTGGAATCGAAATAATAATGGCATTCACATACCATCATTGACATCTGAAATTCTGTTGGGGATTTGAGGTTTCAGCAGATTTTTGGTCTTCTGCTGTACTGAATTTTTTTAATTTGCAAGTAGTAAAAAGTATTTAAAAAATATATTTTAGATTGAAAAGAGGAGTGGCTGGATAAATGTAGGAGATTTACAAGGAGCTGTACATTTCAAAATAGGTACTAAAAATATTATTTAAAAAATTTATTTGAATTCAGGTTATGAGTAATTTCTGATGTTATTCTATTAGTCTTTAGAACACACAATTAAATTTCAGTTTTCTGTACTAATTGAACAAAAACTAAACATTGGTTTAACAATATATTTGCATGTAAAACATGTTCAAGCTTTTATTTATTGATACTTTTATTTAATTTTTTTACTCAAAACAATTTAAAATTAATATCATTTTATATTGTTTTATTTTTAAAAAATTGAATGTATCTTTATGCTTTTTAAAGTGTTCAAAAACAGTAAAGTGTCTTTAATTCATGTAATATTTATTTTCATCTTTCTCTCAGATTGTACTCTGTTTTGTTATGTTTTTAAGTTTTGATGTCTCTTTTCAGGGGGGGGGGGATGAATAAAATTTATGCATTCACTCTAAAGAGCATTCCTCGAAATGTAAAAATATATCTATCAATAAACATTTATTATTTATTCTGATGTTGAAATTTGCATTTCATTCTAAGCCTTTGAAATAAATATAATGTAAAAATATCTATTTTATGATAACCTAAACCAGTGGTCGGCAAACTTATTAGCCAAAGAGCCAAATATGAACATTAGAACAATTAAAAAAAAAATTGGGAGCCAAATCTGCCTGTTTAGTAAACTTTTATTACACTAAATAAAACTAAATTTAATACTTAATATTTATTAATGCGAACAATGTGCTTGTGGAAAGCTTGAGTAAGTTAGGTTTGTATGTTTTTGTTTTAAATTTTAGGCATGATTCCAAGTTCTCATCAATAAGGCGACTTCTCAGTTTACTCTTGATAATGTTCATGCTTGAAAAAGATTGTTCAACATATATATGTAGAACCGAAAAGGGGAAGAATAGCAAACGCGAGCTTTTTCAGCTGATCGTAAGAATCAGGAATACTATTCCAAGCGTTGAAAATGATCATGTCTTCTTTCTCCAGGTCATTCAAAGCAGACCAATTGTGATGTGAACTAAGATCTTTTTTCTTCTCCAATATTTCCAATTCAACACAAAGACGTTTGAATTTAGAGCGCTATATCTCCTTGTTTTTTAAATCCAGCAATTGTACTTCAAAGCTACCAATGTCAATTTCAAAAGGAGAAAATTTTAACTCGGTTATCGTAGCATTAAGAGGATTTATGACAAATGCTAAAGTTGCTCTGCTGTTTTTAAATTCCTGAAACCTGCTGAGAAATGCTTCCCTCATATTTAAAATTACTGTTTTAAAATGGTGTTTATCAATAGAGGAATTATTTTCTTGGCGATGCTTCAACAGGCTCGGAAAGTGAAACAATGTTTCCCTTCAAAATCCTGTGCAAAAATGGATAATTTGTTTTCGAACGTTTTCTTCTAACATTAAAAAAATTATTAAGTTTCCTTTCTCTTGTAATTTACGATTAAGCTGATTTAGATGAGGCATAACGTCTACCATGAAATAAAAATTTTGGATCCACTGATCGTCTGCTAGTTCTGGATAGTGAACGCCCTTCTCAAGGAGAAATCCTTTAATTTCTGGAAAAAGGGATGCGAAAGGTTTTAAAATGTTCCCTCTTGATAACCAACGTACCTTATTGTGAAGCAGAAGATCAGCGTACTCACTCTCCATTTCAAATAAAAATTCTTTGAATTGGCGATGATTAAGAGCTTTAGCTAAAATGGAGTTGATAATGGTAATCACTAATTCCATAACTTTACAAATTTCTTCCAGAAATGTTTGCGCACAAAGCACTTATTGGTGAATGACACAATGGTAAACAAGTATCTCGTGATTAATTTTTTCTTTCAAAATAGCGACAACCCCTTTTCTTACGCCGGTCATACTTTTGGCCCCATCTGTTGAAATCGAGACAATTTTATCGAGGGGAATATGATGTTATCCATACACTCAATTACAGCATTGGTGATATCTTCTCCACCTTTGAGTGGCAATAATCCTAAAAGTTCTTCTTTAGGGCGTGAATGAGACATAAATCTCACAAAAACTGAAATTTGCACTGTATCATTTATGTCACAAGACTCGTCAATTGCAACTCATAAAGCCGAAACCAATTTCAGATCTTCGATATGCTGGGTGGTTATATTCAAACACATTTGTATTTGTACCAGAGCCACACTTAAGGAGTCAAAGAGCCACATGCGGCTCTGGAGCCACACTTTGCCGACCATTGACCTAAACCTTTTAAGTACATTCTTTCTGCTGATATATTTATTAGGTTTCTGATTTTTTTTTTTTTTTTTTTTTTACTGTAAGCTTCCTAATTCTGTTTTCTTTTATTTTGCAGTCAAATATGAAAGAATAAAATTCCTTGTGATTGCCTTAAAAGAAAGCATAGAAATATATGCCTGGGCACCAAAGCCTTACCATAAATTTATGGCCTTTAAGTCATTTACAGATTTAGCTCATAGGCCTAGCTTAGTCGATATGACAATAGAAGAAGGTGTTCGACTAAAGGTTGTGTATGGCTCATCCGAAGGCTTCCATGCGGTAGATTTGGACTCTGGTGCTGTGTATGATATTTATCTTCCTGCCCATGTAAGCACTTGAAAGCATCTGTACATAAATAAGAAATTCTTGCGAAAATAACCAGTGTGCATTTCAAAGCTTTTATTTATTTTATTATTCCTAAGCACTCATTCTCCCTGTTTCTCACTCTCTTTCTTTATGTAATATTTTTAATGGGAAAAAAATATCTACTGTATTGTGTCCTTTTTTATATATATCTGCTTTTGTATTGAAGTATTTTGTGTTGTTTGATTTCTGTGGCAGAAAAGTGATGAGACTGTAACTAAAAACAACTGTAATTAGCAACACTGTAAATATACTGGTGTCTGAGACATTTTACTAGTATTTGCTCACCAACTTTTATTTGCTGAAGTGAGAGAAAAGCAATAAAACTGTTGCTTGAAAATTACATTAGCAACATTGTGAGTATTTTAGGAACTGAGGCAAGTTGCAAATGATTTTTTCTCACCAATACTCTCAAGGCTGTAGTGGTTTTTATCACTGCGTTATTAGAGCAGGAATGTTGTGGCCTAAGAAAGAAGCACAAAACACTCGTGTGCAAACTCGCTCCTATGATACATTTTACTGTTGCAATTGAGGTTTGAGGCTGGCTTTCAGCATGGACGACAGGTTATTTGATGCTGTGAATTGGAACAAAATAAAATGCATTTTAAGTGCAGTGGCAGTTCCAAATCTTCTTTTGGCTTGTGCATGAAGTGATTGTCCTATGACCCAGAGACAAATATTAACACAATACACAAACATGCATTATTCATGTCATCATTACTTGGCACCATGTACAATTGTGAATAACTTTTTTCAAGAGTCAAGTACACTAAAAGTAAAACCTTGAGAACTCTCCAAGAATTGCAATTACTTCAGTCAAACCCAACAATGATGCACTAGTTTCTCAAATTTAAGGCCAAATATCACATTAATTTTGTGATTTCATGTTACCTTTAAAATTATAAAAAAAAAGTATAAAGAGATATTATGTGCAGTGGTGACTCGCCATATAAATCAAGTGAGTCACTAATTCACTTAAAAGTTTTATGTGTATGCACTTTTTATATGTACTACACACTGGGCAAATTTTAAGTAATGCAGTCAAACCTGCACATTTCTCTTTAAAATTTTTTTAACTTCAGCTTAAAATATTTCTTTTAGTGGCCAGACCTGAGTAAATCCAAAAATTTTCAATGGAACCTAGGCAGTTACATGATTCACTTATTTTGAAGTCACAAATTGCCGCTTGTATTAGAAATAATTTGCATGGTAAAAAAGTATCTCTTCTTCCATTATGGCCCAGAGAAGCTAAAAGGTTGAACACCTCTGCATTAGAGGCATACTGCAGAAATGTTAACAGTGAAATTTCGAATTACATACTGCAAACAGATTTTGTGTAAAATTTACTGCATGGCTAATCAATATATTAGGTATTCAGTTTGCTAAAAATGTGTGAAAAATAAAATTTTGATCTAGAAAGTTTTTGATAGCATAAACAGAGGAAAATAGTGAGAAACTGAAAAGTAATAACATTATGAGATTAAAATGTTTGGATAAATAGAATGGTTCTTTATGTCCAGTGATGGATGTTCCCCTATGACAGTGTCTATGTTGCTGCATTGTCTTGTATCTGATTTTTTTACCTGGAATAGTTACTGGTGATTCTTCTGGCACATGATACATTATATCCTAGTCCTTCTGATTTGTTTCCTTTTTTAAAGAATAGGGGAAAAAAAAAAAAAAAACTGGAAAGACCACAGTTATGGTGAATGACATTCAGAATTCAGTGACAGATCATTTGAAAGCAGATACAGTGGATGATTTTCAGCACTGATACAAGAGTATAAGCTGTTCCATAGACAATTCATAGCTCTCAAGAAATTTGAATGTTGTAATATGCATAATATAATTTATTTTCAAATGCAGAGCTTCTAGAACTTGTTCCATTACTTTTCTGCCATACCTTGTGTGATAGATTCCTAGTATAGATTAAAAAATAATTTGTCTGTGATATTACTTAGTACGAGGGCTATCCAGAAAGTAGATTACGTTTTGGAATAAAAAAATAAACAAAGTATAGGAAACAAATTTTATTATATACAGATGAAAGCCACACTCAAATACTACTTTTCTACAGTCACCATACAAATTAAGGCATTTATCGTAGCGATGTACGAGCTTGGAAATTCCTTCGTCGAAAAATTCGGCCGCCTGCGCCTTCACAACCACTTCGTTACCTCTTCTTGCCTTCCATCTTGCACAAAACTTGTGGTAACCAAGCTTTTCGCTGATGATTTCGTGCAACAAAACTTCGCGAAATTTGTGGAAAAACTCAAAGAAAGTTCCGTCCGTTATTGTGAAATTTTCGATTTTCATGGACTTTAGCATCGACTTTTTTCGAGAAGTTCGGCGGTCACTATGCTGGGTCTCCCAGTTCGATCTTCGTCGTGAACATTGGTTCGGCCATTTTGAAATCTTATGACCCACTGACGCACTCCACCTTCTGTGATAATGTTGTCCCCATACGCTTCACGAAGCTGCCGATAGATTTCTATCGGTTTACAGTTTTTTGCAGTCAGAAACCTTATTACTGAGCGCACCTCGCAGCTCGCGGGATTTTCAATTAACGCAGACATTTCAAACCGTCACAGTATCTGAACGGAGCACAGCACGAACCTCTCACTAGCACGGCTAGATGCAGACTGAGCTGCGCAACGCTCTGACCCCAAGATGGCCGCGCTAGCCCCGCCCCTAGCGGACACAGACGGAAACGTAATCTACTTCCTGGATGGCACTCGTATAAAGAGGGAAAACTTTAAATATGATAAAACCTTCAGATATAATAAAATTATATTATGATAATCATAATATGATTTAAATGTGATATAAAAAAGATAAAATGTTCTAAAGCATAGATAAGAATACCATTAAAAGTTAGACATGCCTAATTCCCCTAAAAAATAATTTTTTAACCCCTCTTCGAAATATGTACACCTGATTTTTTAGTTCCCTCTCCATTTTTTATATCATAACCCTTCTCAAAAGTGTTTATGTTATTTTAAATTGTAATTGATTTGATAAATGTTAAAGTATGGCAGTTAAAAAAGATTAGCTTAAAATATGCTAGGATGGGAGAATGTGTTATGCATTGCAGCTTTTTTTCATTTTTTTAATGCTGAAGAATGCATGGGTGATCAAGAACTATAGAATTCTTGTACGATGTATGGAAATTATAACTTGCTCTTCCATACAACTTTTCCATTTCCCCCTATTGTACTACATATAACTCAAATACAGCACTAATATGTAATATAGTATATACACAAATAAATTGTTTTGAGATGTTTTTCAAGACAATGTAAAAATTATTTGCATGTTTTACATATGAAAAGTGTAAAAATTCATCCTGTAGTTGTTGCAAATTTTGTAGTTTGTTAAAAAATATTTTTAGTCATAATTTATTATGCATTTGATTGTAAGTTTGTATTTGTAATTTGCGAGCTGAAAGTAATGTATTAGAGGGAAGGGAATAGGGCCACTGCATCATATTTTATTTGAATGAATGTCATCAATGTTCATTTCAGTAATTGATTTTAGATTTGGCAAGTTTTAGTTGACTAGAGTTTTGTTTAAATTATTTGTTTTCATCTTTTCATACCATTATTGTAGCTTCTTCCTTAGTTTAAATTAGCCATCATATTGTAAAATTTTTTCTTTTCTTTTTCCTCCTATAAATCGAATTTCTATAAAAAATTCTTGAAAAACTTTACTTAAAGGTAAAATATTCCTTTAGAAAGCACAGTTGATTAGGAGCATTGCTAACCATGATTTAAAAGCTATAGGAAGATACGTTTCAGCTATTGATTGGAATCATTTTTTCTTTAGTATTTGTTTTACATTTATTTTGATTTGAAATGGTGAACAAGCAGAAATGTAGTATTCCAATAATGTAGATCCTGTAATTCATATGATGAGTTTAATGTAATGAGTTTAATGTCAGGAGGGGAAAGTGATATGTTTGATTGTCAAGGAGACTCCTCCCCCCCAAAAAAAAGATTGATTTTTTTTATCTAAATAAATAAATTTGATGTAAATACTTATATGCAAAACAAGCATTGCATTTAATACCTGTGATTAAAATCTTTACTGACTAATTTATCTTATTTATTCGTATTATAATACTTAATTTATTTTAAATGCAGTTCAGTGAAAACATTTAGTTTTGTGTACACACACATTCACATGCACAGATATTTCATCTGATTTGTAACCTGTAATGCAATTTCAATTTATGATTCTTTTATCTGGGTCCAAAATCCTTTCCCATAAAGGCTGGTTAGTAATCTTGAGCTAGGGAGCTTGTTGTACTTCAGTATTATTTTTTTTTTTTTTTCATGCTTTAGGATTTTTTAATTTAGGCAGGGACAACAGGAAAGGGGTACTACCTAGATAAAGTAACCTAGATTGTAACACATGATTTTTGAAATGTTTTTAATGAGGCAGTTCAAATCAAAGTTGTCAGAAGAGATGAAAAAGTTCATGACTTACAGTGAAATTTGTTTGATCTCAGGTTGCTAAACTTGCACTGAAGCAAAAGGCTCACAGAAAAGACCAGTTACTGCATATTTAAAATCAGGTGACTCAACAGGGCTGAAAAATAAAGATAGGTGTCATTTAAGTGCAGTGAGGTCATCTGAAAATTTTCCTAGCTTATATCAATTAAATATAATAATTTATATATAAACAAAAATATTAGTAGTATATATTAGCTAAGGGTAATAAATCTTAAATTCATGTGTAACTGTATAGATTACTGAAATAAAATATTTTTCTGTTTACATACTATTTGGATGCACAATTTGAAAATAAAACTAGAGGGGGGTAGCAGTTTGGTATATATGTTACAGTGAAACACCGAAATCTGGAGAATGTCGACTTTCACCTGTGAATGTCAACATTCACATAGTCGCTTGGGCATGTCCGAAATATTTTCCAAATACTCTTATTTCTGACTTATGCCGGTA